GTCTCGCTGTCCTACCTGTCTCTCTATGTCTCACAGTCCAGCTGTCCTACGTCTGTGTCTGTCTCACAGTCCAGCTGTGCTCTGTCCCTCTGTCTCAAAGTCCAGCTATCCTCTGTCTCACAGTCCAGCTGTCTTCTGTCTGTCTCCTCTGGATTGCTGTTTCTGATGCAGTCTCGTCCTGTGCCTGATGTCTTGCAGCTGTAAATGCACAGAGCCTGACAACCCCAGTAACCAAACTCTTCAGTACTGGAGCGAGAGGAACATCTCGGCCTCCTATGTGCCCTGGGCAAACCTCACTGTCACGGTAAGGCACAGAGCTCTAACATCACTAATGCTAACTCTAAGGACAATGAAATCCTAAAGAATTGATTGATTGACAATATCTGCAGGAGTGTCTGAAGCTCCAGGGAGAGTTCGTGGGGACAGCCTGTGGACACCACGGTCCCTACACCCCGGATGTCCTCTTCTGGTCTGCCATCCTCTTCTTCTCCACCTTTGCCCTGTCCACCTTCCTCAAGCAGTTCAAGACCAGTCGCTACTTCCCCACCCGGGTAAGATCTCTCGGGGCTCGTCTCAGACGGTGCTGGGAGTTCGGGTGTGACCTCCAGAGGTCTGAGCCTTAACTGGGAATGACTTTTGCTGTTAGTGACTTGCAGAAGTGCTCAAATCCTGCTGCAGAGAGGCTCTGAAGGGTCCAAATGTGAGCTCTAAAGAGCAGATAGGGATTACTTACAATGCACATTAAAAACACAGCCAGCTCCTTGACCTCTGACCTCTGTATTGACCCCCCCACAACCAGCACTACTGTCGGGGTGCTGTCAGATTTCACGACCCCTGTGTGTTTAAGGACGTTTCCTCTGCAGAAATGTGACATGGCCTGGCTTGGCCTTCATCCCTGACTTGGCCTAAGGGCATTTTAAACAGACACCACTTGTACTCGACAATTTAGAAATAACAAAAAAGGCAGGAACAATGTTATCAGATATGGCCATTGTGCTGTGCGTGGAAGCACTTTCTATGCAATGGCCAGTACTGAACACCCATTCATGGTGATAACAGGGTTACCAGAGCTGTACTCAGACTATGAAACTACCTGTCAAACTGCTTGAATTCAGAGTGCTGTGTCAGGTGCACCTTGTATGTGTCTTCTTTGGTTTTCTCTGGAAATGTCCTTTTTCCTCTCAAATTGAAACCCATTTCAAACCTTTCTTGCATCTCCACACAACATCCTGATGCCCTCCGCCCTCCACCCTCCCCCCAGGTCCGGTCCATGATCAGCGACTTCGCCGTCTTCCTCACCATCGTCATCATGGTGGGCATCGACTACGCCATCGGGATCCCCTCCCAGAAGCTGCAGGTGCCCAGCAAGTTCAAGGTGAGGCACAGCCACGCACCAGGAGCCCATCCACCACCAGAGAGCCTACTGGCTTAGTAGAATACTAATTGATTCGTAGCTAAGCCCAATTAATCAATTAAGACCCTGAGCAACTAACCCAGCGCTCCGTCACTGCACATGGTGGGAGGCTGTGTGTGAGGTTCACTCCTCCAGCTGGATCAGAGGCTGTGTCTGCCGACCAGTGTTCTTTGGAACAGAGCGGGAAATTTCCCAGGTGAGATGGGACCAATCTGCTTCTCTGTTGGGCTTCCGGTAGTTTCAGAAACAGTCCCTCTATGCAAGGAGGTGTCTACGATTTTCGACCATCTGTGTCCCTGGATTGTTGTGTTGCTGCTGAGCTGGAGTGCCCTGAGGATGTGCGCTTCAGGATTTTAATTATCTAATTAAGTTCCCATGGAATCTTCTTGGATTCAAGCCAAATAGATTCAGTTCTCCTAGTCTGTCCCACTCTGCTTTGTACTTCAATGCTTTCTTGCAGCACAAAGAGCAGAACTGAACACCATATTCTTAGCGAGGTCAAAGCAATGGACTGAATCACAGTACCATTGACTTCCTGATGAGCAGTTGGCAATCCCAAACTGGGAGAGAACGAACCAGAAAAATCATTGACATCTCCAGATTATGCCCTGTGATGGACTGGCATCCCATCCAGGGTGTATCCCACCCCATGCCTGTTGCTTGCCAGGTTAGGCTCTGGCTTCCCCATGACCCTGAATTGGATGATGGATTGTCCTGAAAATGGATGGATGGATTTCAAATTAAAGAACAGATTAAAACCTCAAAACCTCTATTGCCTTCGTAGGGCTGGATCGGTCCATGCTTGGACTATCCCAGTTAGTTCCATCCCCCTGACTGTAGAGGTTTCGCAGCAGCCAGGGCTATGGGTTTACCAGATGGCCTTTTCTTGGCAACTCTTGAGCAGTAACACCAGCAGTGCCCTCTTCCCCCCTCCTTGCTCCCCCACAGCCGACCCGGGACGACCGTGGCTGGATCATGAATCCTATCGGCCCCAACCCTTGGTGGACAGTGGTGGTGGCACCGATCCCTGCGCTGCTCTGCACCATCCTGATCTTCATGGACCAGCAGATCACCGCCGTCATCATCAACCGCAAGGAGCACAAGCTGCTGGTAGGGTGGATGATCTGGTTGAGGGGGCGGGGTGATGGGTGGGGTCATATCTGTAACTGATCTGACCTGAAAGGGTTGAGAAGACAGAATGATAGGGATCCCAGCTGCATCAACCAGAATGAGCATCCATTCAAAAACCCATCTCAATGTGCCTATCATGTGCAGGTGGTGTCACACCAGTGGTAGGAGTTGCCCAGCCAGGATTGACAGATCAGGGATCTCTATGACATGCCTGATACCTGCAGGCCTACAGTGACTTCTGTTCCATTTGTAATGTTTTCTAAGGGGTGCACTTTCTTCTGCATGAGGGCTTCCCTCCCACCTGCTGCACGTGTCTACATGGTGGGCGGTACCAGCCTGTGCTCGTGAGCTGGAGCTCTGTCTCTCTCCTCCCTGTTCCTGCAGAAGGGCTGCGGTTATCATCTGGACCTGCTGATGGTGGGGTTCATGCTGGGCATCTGCTCCATCATGGGTCTGCCCTGGTTCGTGGCGGCCACCGTCCTGTCCATCTCCCACGTCAACAGCCTGAAGCTGGAGTCGGAGTGCTCGGCACCGGGAGAGCAGCCCAAGTTTTTGGGCATCCGGGAGCAGCGGCTCACTGGGCTCCTGATCTTCGTGCTGATGGGCTGTTCTGTCTTCATGACCGGGGCTCTGCAGGTGGGGCCCCACACTGCCTCCCTCCTCTCCCTGCTCCCCCTGGTCTCCTCCTCTCTCCCAGCTCCCCTGGTCTCTACCTCTCCCTGCTCTCCACCTCTCTCTGGTCTCCTCCTCTCTCCAAGCTCCCCTGGTCTCTACCTCTCTCTGCTCTCCTCCTCTCTCCCAGCTCCCCTGGTCTCTACCTCTCTTTGCTCCCCTCCTCTCTCTCTGCTCCCTCTGGTCTCCTCCTCTCTCCCTGCTCCCCCTGGTCTCCTCCTCTCTCCCTGCTCCTACTGGTCTCCTCCTCTCTCCCAGCTCCCTCCGGTCTCCTCCTCTCCCCTTGCTCCATCTGGTCTCCTCTCCCCTCTCTGCTCCCCCTGGCTGTTAGGTACTCTAACATGTCCAGCATTTGTTCCTTACAACTGTAACTCCCAGTCTAGGTTTTCAAAGAGTGCACACAGACATGCACACACAGGTGCTAATTTGATGTGCTCCAGTCCTAACCAGCCTCTTTTGTCTTTCTGTGTGTCTATGTGTCTGCAGTTCATCCCCATGCCAGTGTTGTACGGAGTGTTCCTCTACATGGGTGCCTCATCTCTAAAGGGAATTCAGGTATGGTGTGGACAGCAGGACTGGACTGATGTCAAGACTGCAGTTACTGTACCTGGAGGACAGAGCCTGCTGGGGTGTCTCACAGTCACAGCTTTGGGCACAGTGACACAGGGCATGCTGTCCTGTTGAAGCTTGCCAGGGAGATGTGCTGCTTCCAAAATTATTCTTGGAAAAAAAATAGGTTTTAACCCGACCAAACTGGAACAGTTAAATGTGTGTTCTTCAAGTCTCACAGCTGCAAACTCCATTACCGCACACACAGGAGAGTGAGAAACTGAAGGCCCACCCTCCAGTCACATGTCACAGATAGCCCTATCCCATTCATGCATAATCATCACTGATTGGAGAACAGACATGCCCCTCACAGGCAGCACTGCCCTGTACTGGAGGATGTGTGATGATTGGAGGAGAGACATGTCACTCACAGGCAGCACTGCCCCATACTGGAGGGTGAGTGCTGATTGGAGGAGAAGCACATCCCTCATAGGCAGCACGACATGCCTGCAGAGGGTCACTGAGTGCCGAGAGAGCTCTGGCTGACTAACAATACCATACCCACTAAACCAAACCCCTGAAACAATGTAACCACAGCTCAAACCAGTGACCTTTGCCCTGGTGCTGGGGAATCCCTGTCCTTCTGGTTATTGTTGGTGTCCTAAATCAGCAGAGAAACTCCTACTGGTGGATCCTACTAAGGTGATCCACACAGGGGAACCCTACTTCAGTCTTTAGATTACAGGGGTTTATGTCTATTAATTGTGCAACACATGGACACATTCTTCAGAGGTGTCTATTAGGAACATCCAGGGTAGTAGTAGTAATAATAAAAGTGATGATGAGCTTGAGGGATGAAGAGGAGACCACTATGACAAACAAAGGTTGTGAGGTGGGGAGTAGGAAGATAGTAAGTCAGACAGGAACTGAGGTGCCAAGCCGTGTAGAGCCTTACAGGTGATCATAAGAACATGAGAAGTCTTTTACAAATGAGGAGAAGCTGTTCGACCTAGCTGGATCTTTTAGTATGGTAGTTAATTGATCTAAGGGTCTCATTCTGCTATTTCTTAAAAGAAAGCAGGGTATCGGCTTAAACCACGTGACTGGATGGCTTGTTCCACGCTCCTACTGCTCTTGCTCTACTGCTCATTCTGAAGAGCTGAGTCGGCTCCGTTAATCCTTTGAGGATTTTCACTACTTGGATCAGGTCCCCTCATCTTCTTTTCTGCTCAGGACTAAAAAGGCTTTGTTCCCTCTGCCTGCCAGGGCCAGTTGTCCCGGGTCCGAGCTCGGGAAGCTCCAGGCTCTGGGAAGGTGCTTGCCATTTTTTTAAGGCCTGGGAATGTTTTCTTGTATTTCGCGCGCCTCTAAGGGAAGCCGGTCGCACTGATCTCTCCTCTCTCGCAGTTCTTCGACCGCCTGAAGCTCTTCGGCATGCCGCCGAAGCACCAGCCGGACTTCATCTACCTGCGCCACGTGCCCCTGAGGAAGGTGCACCTGTTCACCCTGATCCAGCTCACCTGCCTGGTCCTCCTGTGGGTCATCAAGACCTCGCCGGCCGCCATCGTCTTCCCCATGATGGTGCTGGCCCTGGTGTTCATCCGCAAGCTCATGGACCTCTGCTTCTCCAAGCGCGAGCTCAGCTGGCTGGACGACCTGATGCCCGAGAGCAAGAAGAAGAAGCTGGACGACGCCACCAAGAAGGCGAAGGCCGAGGAGGTGCCGACCTTTCAAGTCCTGCCATTTCACAGCATCTCGCGAGCGTGGCCGCTAACGAGCGCATCCAAACGAGAGGAGGCCGCTCTGCCCCCCCCTAGCTCATTTGGCTGCTAGTAGTTAACTGGTCCCAGGATCTCATCCCGCAGTTCCTCTGAAGGAAGCCAGGGTGATGGTTGGGCAGTTTGTTCCAGGCTCCCACCGCTCTTTGTGTAAAGGCTCCTGAATTTGTCTATGAGCCACAGCACGTCGCTGGAGAGAACTGAATGGTGGAATGGGGTTGGTTGAGGTTCCTTATTGTATAAGGAATGAAGAATGTGTACAGTGCTATAAATAGATAGAGCAGTGGTGTACAACTTCTACTGTCAAAAAGTTTTTACTGGCCCCTCTAATCCCCTAGCAGCTGGTAAGCACAGTAATGACTTCAATTGTCTAAATCAAGCTTAAAAGGCATAATTTCAGTCATGTAATTAACAGATAAGACAGAATTAAAAACAGAAGACAAGGCAGACCTGGAAGAATGGGGGCTTGTCACACTGACACAGCGAGATTAACAGCCTTTACAGCAAAAGAAAGCTCCAAAGCTGAAATGTATTTCTTTTCTTCTCTTTTCAGCATGGAATAAACCTTTACTTGTTCCTGGGTCGTATTGCCCATTTCGATATAGGGAGTGAAAAGTGTAATTTGCTGCCACCTAGTGGAGAGAGAACCAAACTACATGTTCTGTTTTCAGTTTTAATCAAGATGAAACACCCCAGGAACAGAGACAAAGAGGCACTTGTCAGTAAAAATTGGATTTTAAAATTGCCCTTAAATGGGAAGGCTGAGACCTGTTGCTTATTTACTCTGTGGAGACATAGCAATGATTGAAACATATCACAAATTTATAACATATATACCCTAAACATCATTTTATGGGTGGCTGCTTTTTAAATTTGTTAATGATTAAATGATGAAGCAGCTTTTGCTTCTACAAAATATTAACATGACCATTAACCGTCAACATTCAGCTCAATAAAGGTGAAATGCATAATTGCCATATTAATTTCATTTGCTCTAAAGGCACAGTTATGCCCTGTTCATCTCTGGTGAATATGGAGAGACCCTATCCTTATATTGTACAATGGCAGAAAGCGTTCTGTAGTTTCGTATGGATGATGCCTGATGAGTCTGCTAACCCATGTGACACACATTTGGAGTTACTCTCACTGTCGGGGTGTCTCCCTCAGGAGTCCGAGAAGATGCTGGATCACGGGGAGGATAAGGTGGTGCAGATCCCCATGGAGAGCAGCCAGCTCCTGCACAGCCCCCAGAAGAAGAGCAACAGCTCCAGGTGAGCAGGGATCGAAGTGGGAGGGGGCTGCACTGACTGCCCCCCTCTGACCCCCCCACTGATACACACCAGCATAATGCCCCCGCTCCCTGCCCCTCCCCTCCAAGGTCACCATTAATATAAACAGATCTGGGATTCTGAGCTCACCAAGTTTCTGTCCACCACCTAATTTATAGAGAAGGTAGTCTGATTCACACCAGATTGCACAGCCGTTTAATCCAATCCAGGGTATAGCTAACTCTCTGATGTCCTTGAGGATGGAAGACCAGAGTAGGTGAATGAAGGCTGTGAGGTGGGGAGTAAACAGATAAAAAGTCAGTCAGGAACCGAGGTGCCAAGCCATGTAGAGCCTTATAGGTGAGCATGAGGATTTTGAAGTCGACCTGAAACCTGACAGGAAGCCAGTGCGAGGGCTCCAGGACAGGAGTGATGTGATCACCTGCAAGCAACCTGGCCAGGATTCTGGCTGCTGAATTCGGAAAATAATGGAGTTTGTTCAGTGTGGATTTAGATCAGTTTTTCATGACCAGCTTTTCAGCGTCAGTCAGAGACAACATAATATCACCAGATTACATCCTATGTAGGTGATGGGAGGTGCTGAGCAGCCTGAGCTCAGTCTTATTGCAGTTCAAGTGAAGGAAATTTTTTAGTCATCCAGGTTTATATATAAGAGAATCACAAAAACAGCCTGAAAGCAATTCAGCAAGTCAACTATACTGGCAGAATGTCCACAAACTCCTTCATCAGTGAGTGCTCTTGTGCTCCCTAATAACAAATTGTTGGCGATCACTAACATTTTAGTTTATAATCATATAAAAAAGAAAATATTAACACCACTGAGACCTCAGTATAATAATGCAGTGATAAAAAGAGAAGGCGGCTGATTGTAATTAATGCTGATGATTTTAATTGTAGCAGGTCTTCACAGTATAGTTCAATAACAGCTGTTGTTAGTAAAGGCAGAGAAACTTTGGGCTAAGTAACAACTAGTGCAGGATGAAACTGTACCAGAGACAAACACTCTCACAGAAACTCCACACACACAAACGCAAATTAAAATCATGCACATACTGTATACACAATCACACACAAAACCTTTACACACATTCAGACATATACATAGACAAACACACAGAAAACCGTGCACATAAGCACAACCTCCGCTCCACACACAAAATCAAGCACATCCACTCTAAAGTCCATCACCACACACGTAACACACACACAGGTACAGTATACACATACATCAGGGCAGGCAGTAAGTATAGAAAGGTGAAAGAGTTGTGGAAGCGAGTCCTTCAGCACAGAACTAACATACCGCCCACCCCTGCATGAACAGAGGGGGTCAGGGGTGCAGCCCTGTCCCCGTGCTCTGTTTGTGGACTTCAGCCCCTGGCAGACCTGCCCCTGTGCCTGTCCTGCTCTGCATGGCCCGCTCTCCCTGGTGTTACAATGTGACGTTCTGTTCTAGGTGTGACCCATCAGACATTAATATCTCTGACGAAATGTCTAAAACAACAGTGTGGAAAGCTCTCAGTATGACCCCTGACAGCTCAGATCTCAAGGACGACCCCGTTTCCACCAAAAAGGCAAGGGCACCTCCTCCTCACCACTCACCCTGCAAGAAACCCAAACCCTCACAGAGGCCACGTTTCTCTTCTTCAGCTCTCTCCTCCCGATTCCTGCCTCTCTCACACTCTGCATCCCTAAGCTTCATCCCGTTTATCCTTTACTCCCGTTTTTTCCTTTGGACTTATTTCTACTCTGGGACCTGCAGTCTCCCCCCAAAGCCAGGCTGTGAGGTCCTGATTTTTTAATATGGCAGATGAATACAATGAGGGGGGCGTGTCACAGGGCGAAGGGCTCTGACCGGGGGGCGTGTCAGAGGGCGTGTCCATAACCTCTGTACCCCCTCCCACTCCAGTCCTACTGGAGTACTTAACCTTTGAGCCAAGTCTCAATTGGCCATTCCAGAGTTTTTAAGTCTAAAGATTTTCAACGCGTGTTGAAATAGCCTTTATTACAGAGTTAGTCAGCCTTTAAAAAAAGGCCTCCACACAGACAACTGACCCACAAGGAACCTGCTTCTGGGGGAGAGTGTCACCTCGATTCTCAGCTGGTCCCCCTCTGCTGTTGTGTGCTGGTGAAAGCGACAAACGCGGCTCCGCTCTTCGCTGTCCAGTGGCCAAACACAGTGCCGAAGGGAGAAACGTTTGGAAACGATGGCTGTCGTTACTGATCCTTCTCGTACCGTGGGACCTTTGCAGCTCCGAACGGGAACGCTCACTGCAGCTTCCTGAACTTTGCATCATCGCCGTGCCCAGATCGCACGCTTGCGGACGCAGGTTTCTAAAGCGGGCAGGAGGCGTCCACGTTATTACAGAATAGTTCACAACTAAACGAAAATAAAAAAAAGAAAAACTACCAATACACCGTACAGATCTTAGGTTACAAATACCGAGAGTACAGACAGGTCTGAATGTGGATGAAATAAGCAGCATTTTAACAGGTCGAGACGGCACAGTCAATGGCGTGCACCACTGGAAGGCGAGATACAGCTTGCTGAGAGCTGTACATAAAGCCATGATCACCATAAATGTATGGGGAATAATTTTGCAGCACTACACAAAGCTCATGCAGAGCTTGTCTTGTTCAGTAGGCCGCCGCACTGCCCGCTTTGGAAATGGCGCTCCCTTGAACACACCCATCCAGCACGCATTCTGTGGGAAACCATGCGGCAGCGTCCCTCACCGCCTTCCGGCGGGGTTTCACAAGTCTCGCTGGGCGATCTCGATGCCCCACACCCCACCCAGCTCATGCGCGCTCGCACTAACTCCTGCTTCCCGGATCAGAGCGGGAAGGAGCTCACAGCCTGCCCGCGTGCCTTGTCTAAAAATCTTTCATTCATGTGGTAGAAATATTTCTTATTGGTCTAACCCCTTGCAAACGCTCTAAATATTTTTGGGAGACAGGTGTAAACACAAAAACAACGGGCTCCATTTTATTCTTGTCGTTATAAGCGAAGGTACAAACAAGCTCTAAGTCCCAGCCTACATGTATATGATGCTGTACCTCTGTTATTGTCAGAGGTTAGTAAGCCAACACCTCTTAATCATTTTAATAGTCATGTAAACCAACATTACCGTCTTAGCGTCCAACAAGAGATAGTCTCTTTGCAAGAGAGGAGATTTGCCAGCGCATACACATTCCCTGGGGGGCTAAATTTTACACACCTGTACGAGCCCTTTAGCGCAAGCGAAGTCCCCCGAGAAGCATTGCACGACTGGCTGCCTAAGGCGTGTGTCAGTCGGCGCTCTCTGCTGCCGGGCGCAGGAAAATGACGAAGGCTCTAACGGGTGGGCGTGGCTGCAGGTTCACGTTCTCTTCGTTCTCAGGAGTCTGAACCGAGACCTCAGAATCTGACTATTCCGAGTGGACAACAAAATTGCGTTCAATTAATGATTTAAAAAAACAGACGACACAGTAGCCCTCAAGGACAGGAGCTGAGGGATGCTGCCCTAGGGAGAAACAACTGTTTTGACTCTTGTCTCCAGCAGATAAGAACAAAGTTGAAACTCTTGTCAGTTGTGCGGACTTCATTTTCCCAGAGTTCCACTCTGCACCTTGTTCCACACCTGTGTAGTGACTCTAGCTGTGTCTGTTTGTTTGTGTGTGTGTGTCTGTCTGTTTGTTCTCTGGTGTTTCTTCCGCAGGAATGACAGTAACTGAAGTGCGGAGCTGTGTCGGGACCCCCCCGAGGCAGGGGGACTCAGGGACAAGAGGAGCTCGGCTCAGACAGTCTCAGCCAGGATGGTCAACAGCAGGGATGACCCCCCTCTCCCCCCCTACCCAACCTCCACACCATGATCTTTGGATTAACATCTTTACTACCCTACCCTTCCCCAACTGACCCCCCCGCCTTATCTCTAAATTTATCCACTTTTCCTCTTCTGGGTGGGGGAGTGGGAGGTCCTCATCACCCCAGACAGAGTGGGACTGAGGTGCAGTTCTACACTCAGTCCTTCGAA